AAAAAAATTCTGTTGGGAAAGGGATGGAGAGCGAAATGGTAGAAAGACAAGAGCTTATGTTATGTTATTAATGGAAGGGGTATATTTGCGGTTTCATATTTGTGATGCAGTTAAATCGAGAGAAGGTTGTCTTTAGTGACGGTCAATACCGGCACTCTGTAGGATGTCTGTGGCCGTCTGCACTGGGGGTCTGAAGGCTGTCTGAAAGCCTGGAGGTGGGGAGTGGAACTGACTTGGGGTTAGTGTGGGAGGAGGGAGGTAAGGGGCCCAGGCGGCTCTGTGTAAGGAGAGTTGGGCTGCTGCGTCCAGGAGGCCGGTGTGCGGGGGCTGTGGGAGTGCGCTGGAGCTGGGAGGTCCATCCATCTCTGTGAGTGCCTGCAGCGACTTGAGCCAGTGTGGCGGATTGTCATCCTGGAGACAGTCCAAACTGTTGCCTGTAGATGCTGGGATACCTGAAGTTTGAAAAGGGACATAAATGAGTACTATTAGCGATGAAGGGTTTATCAGTGTGCAGAGGGTTTACGAAACACAAATCACACCTGTGATGATGGCGGGATCCATCCAACTGGCCGTACTGTCCCAGCTGAGGCTGTGCGAGACTCCAGTCGAGCCTACCGGCACCCCGATGTGGTTCACACTGGAAGTGGAGGAAGAGGAGGAGGAAGAGGTAGAGTTCGGGAGGCCTCCGAAGTTGATGTTGATATTTGGTAGGAGTGCTCGCAGTCCGTCCTGCCACTCTTTCACATTTATACTTTCTACAGAGCCATTGTTTTCTGAAATTAATGAAAAAAAGAGAATTGAAACTCTGTGGTATCCTTACGTCTACATGAAAATGACATTTGAAAGCAATTTTTATGTTAAATGGGATAATCAACAAGAAAAAAAAAACAGGATACAGATGACCAGTGCTATCTTAGTATTATTCTATACTATTATAGTATTTATTATAAGCGATTTATATACATTTTTATTTTAATTAATAGCTTTATAAAATATTTGTAGTTTTCATTTTAATTTTAGTTTAGTAATATTGTTGTGCTTTTTAAAAATATTTCTATTTAGCTTTATGTTTCAGTTTTAGTCCATTGGGAAGTCACTTTTACTTATTTTAGTTGCCAAAGCAACATTTCTTAAGTTCTTAAGTGTTTCATTTAATTTTATTTATGCTTTTTTCCAATTACAGAATTTTTTTTTAATAGTTTTAGTTAATAACAACACTGAAGATGACCAGACTTCAGAAAAAAGCTGAATTAGCCATCAAGGTGCAAAATAAAACAATAAACATACTGGGAATGAGTTCAACCACTTGTTTGTATTTGGATCAGTGGGCTACAACTGTAGCCCTGCTTAGACCAGGTGTTTTAACACACACACACACACAGGTGTTTCACAAAAAAAACTGGAGCACACGAGACAGATTCATCCCCTAACCTGATATAGGAATCCCCCCAAGGCCGGTGCTGTGGTGCTGGGCCGGCATGCTCAGGTCTAAGAAATGGCTGTGCGCAGCTGAGGCCGTGTGGTTCAAGTGTGTGAGGTTATTGCGGGTGGGGAGGCCCATCCAGGGGTGGCGTGCGGCCATGTGTTGGGGCAGGCTGAAGGAGTTATAGAGGCCTCTGTGCTGGAGGTGAGGAAGGCGCCTCTGGTGGGAAGAGGGATTGGGAGAGAGGGGGGAATGCTCCTCGACTGACAGCTCTTTCTCTATGAGGTCGGCCAGGGCCTTCCGTGTGATGTCAAATGGGTCAAAGCCGAGGTCATCGTCCTGCTGCTGCTGCTGCTTGGCCGAAGAGCCAAAACCGAAGGCCGCCTGCCAATCAGTAGAGGACGACACTGGGATAGTGTCTGCAAAAAGGAAGAGAGATTGATGGGCTTATCCGATTAGCTCCACCCACACTGCAATCTTATTGGTCCAAAATCCCACTACACTGCATTCACTGCACACACCTACCTGAGGTGAAAAGGCTCTGTGGTTCTGGAGTCATGGGCCAGTCAGAGGCTCCCTGGGGTGAACTGGAGAAGGGGGGCAGGCCGCTGGGGATGGGGTTGGGATGTCTGAAATTGCTGTTGTCTGAGAAAAGAGATTGAGACTCTGCTGCCGCCCCCTCGAAGGGTGAGCGCGCTGTGAGTTTGGCCACGCTGATGGGCACAACGAGGCTGGGTTTAGTAAGGCCAGGTGGAGGAGATGGGGAATCGCTACTGGATGTCTGTAAAACCAAATGCAGACAGATGGATCAAAAAAATAAATAAAACAAACCCACAATAACTATTCTTAGAGATTCGATAGTTTTTTTTAGCACTTACCTGTGATATAGTTTCCCCATTTCCCATATTTATGGATTCTGATTGTTTGCCAATTGGACTGAAATGAAAGCAGAGTGTGATAAGCACGCACCAAAACACACAAGAAGAAAAATCATTGTATATTGCTGAATATCAAAGCTACTACTGGCTAGGCTTCTGCAGTACAGTACCTGGTAGGCTCTAAGGCTGATGGGAAAGGTGGAAGGCCTGTGTTCTGTTCTGTTCCCTGTTCAGGGTCTGGTTCATCTGGAGTCATGTGGTCTGAGTCTGTTAGGCAGTCGAAAAGAGGAGGGGACTTGCGATGCTCTGTGGTTAAACCGTTAACCATTTTCCCATAGTTCTGTAATGAGGGCCACCCTTCTTTATTGGTACTATTGGGTCTGAACAAATGAAGAAAAAAAAATGCTGAAGTTAAAAATGAAAATCACACTTCTCAAAGATTGAATGTATGCACTTCTAAAAATGTAATTTATAAACTACCATTTAAAAGTTTGGGGTCAGAAATATTTTTG